ATATATATATATATATATATATATATATATATATATATATATGGCCACTCAGGGATTTTGCGACTGAAATCTTAAGGGTATTACTTATTGAGCGACGGTAACCAGCAGGAAGTAGGATCAAGATGGAATCCAACTGGAATTTACGTTATTTTATTCTTTTTCTTGATATTTGATGTATTTCTTTCATAAAAATGATTGAAGGACTTAAAATCTAGCTTTGTTGATGCTCTGAGCGCCTTAAAGTAATTTTATTATATGAACTTGGACTGACAGGTCAAATCGAGTTTCGTCCGATGTGAATAAAGGGTCCCCAAAGCTTGCCTTCCCCAATAGTCACCGTAGACAGCACACCCACAATTGACCCTTTTCTTGACGTGATTATGCAAAGGTACCATAGTTCACTGGAAGATTAGAGGCCATACATGACGCCTTTTTTTAAATCTCTTTAAATAATTTTTTTTTGTTTTCAAAGACAATTACCCCAGCTATCGCAGCGGGACGGCAGCCAAAGGCCGTGGACTGTCAGCAGCCAACCAGCAAATCGTTAACCAGCGAAGCACAGCGCAGGTGGCTGGCGACAACAGCGAATCCGATCCCTACCACCTGCCCTCGGCCAACACTCCTGAGGATCCACATCCCCGCAGTGTATATTCCAGCAGTAAGTGGCTGCCGAAGCTTCTCGTAAAATGAACCTCAGTGTTAGGCTGCCAAACACTTGTGTGTTCAAAGCAAACGTTATTCAAAATTCTGGTCATCAACTGAACAGATGCCCCCTGTGGATTGTTCATTGGCCCGAAACATGTATTTTGATCTGCCTTGACAAGGCACCATTGCAAAAAGAGCAACTGTCAACTTGCAAAATATTGTTTCATTTACAGACATGCATAGATCTGCTCTTCTTTGGGACAGAATACTTTCACTTGCTGAGCCACATAATGTTATGCGATAAAATGTGACCTTATACCGATGTTTTTGGGAATCGCTAGGTTTTGATTCTTGACGAATTTTTAAGTTTCCTGAGGCTTAATTGGGTTGGATGTCATATTTGCGTGCCACATAATACCCTAGACTTGTCTGTATGTGGTTGAAAAACAACAACGAATTTGAAGGGGAATGGGTAACTCATGTACGTAATTGACGATGTTGTGTTCTCGAAGTGTGTCAGAGTAAGCAATAGTATTGTAGCAGAAGGATCTGGCTTTATTTAAAGTCCAGTTTTCTGCTGCACCATCTCCGAAACGTGTTGTTAACATGACACGATTAAGGTTGTACCAACCTTCCTAGGTAGTGAGCCACAGCAAACAGAATCTTCGATGAGTTCCGTCAACTCCAGCTCCTACATGTCTCCAATCAAACTGAAGTCCCCGAACGATTTAGACTACTCCTCCTCACGCAACAAACCATTTTCGGGATATGCACCCCCAACTTCATCAAACCACCAACCTCCTCCGCCGACCTACGACCAGCACCCCTATTACGGCGCACCATCAGCTTTAGCCTCAATGGACCATATGGCCTCTTCCCTTCTCCGTCAACATCAGCAACCGCAGCACAGCCTCTTGGCGCAGCTCCAATCAGCTTCGTACAAATCATATGTCGATTCGTCCAGTCACTATTACTCCTACCCAAGGGCCTATGTTGGTGGCCGACCAAGTTTCTTTGAGTTGAAGGGCATGCTAAGACATCGAAGAGCTCAGTATCCGGCGACATCCATTGACGCCTTCACATGTGGATATTGCCAAATGCATGTGGAGGGTGGAGGAGGCGGTGGACCAGACACGGGAGCCGAGGGAGAAGGGGTATTATACACACGGTGTTTTGGATGTGGAATGCCGGTGCATCACTTCTGTATTCTTAGATACCGCAACAGCACGACAGGGAGCTGTTCACGTACCTCAAACAGTCAGCGCCTCTGTTATCCATGGGTGTGCACTGAATGCAAAACTTGTTGGATTTGTGGAAGCGGAATAAATGAGGTCAGTCTCGTTTCCAAATAATTGCGCCTCATTTTTACGGGTCCTCAAACCAAACAATTTAGAGAGGCTCAAAGCCTTGCACCGATTATACCACTGGTGCATTTCATGTGCCGCTTCAATAACAAACCGGGCTCGTGAAAATTTTGTCTGTATATGCGGACGTTTTAAATTTAGTACTGAGACTAATGGCAAAAAGATGAGCCCTAGAACACTGGAGCACTATTGGATGGAAGGATATTGATACCCTTTTTCGTACACGGTACTTCCATTTTATTAAAACAGATTATTGGATGGGTTCATCTCCAAGATGACATGCTGCATGTGCGAAGTCGAATATAGGTAGGCATAAACGAAAGAAAACTAAGGGAAGTCAAGAGACCACTGCGCGAATCGTTCGGAGCACAAATAATACGCCGAAACACTTTTTCACAAACAATTCCTAAATGATGATACCTCAGATCAGTTAGAAGAGAAACATTTGTCATCATGGAAGCTGTCAGTTGTTCTGAGATTATGGGATTTCTTTTGAAAGGCTTATTCAGGGGTTCAATGTGAGTTTCCGCAATTTTGGCCGAAACATACGAGCAATAAAATATGTTCCTAATTTGCTGGCATGAGTGTAATTGAAGTAAATTTAAACTCATAGTTCGAAATGAAAGTCAAGTGACAACTGGAATATAGTTTTGAGAACCACGGGTTGTGCTCGACTGCATGAAGTTGGTATCGGTTTGAGCACATAAAGTTCCACCACCTATAACAAAACATTTGCTAGTAGTAGTAGTCATTATTTGTGTGTGCATAATGACACTTACCTATAAGAAAATGTTATTTTCATAACATATTAGCATTTCCTGCGTCACTCTGATTCTGCAGCTTTCTTTTTGGTTTTACACATCTTGTCCAACTTGCCGGATAAACCTACCAAATTGGCAGTATTTAAATAATAAGGCATTTAGAGCAGGGATTAACGCGTTGTAACACAAAAGGTAGGCTCAGCTAAGGGTAAATGCTTTTGGTAGTGTTATGTGCGTTACTTTTTGATGCCGAACAGGACAGTCCAAGTGGTTGTGCGTCGGCATTTAACGCAGCAATCCACTTAAAGCGCTGCACCATTGGCCAGGCCTAATGTTAACCACCGACGGAAAAGCTACGCCAGTCGTGGAATCAAAAACAGCCTTGGCAGCATTAGGTTGCTAGATTGTCCGCCCTGTAAAATTTAATTATTTGTGTGCATTATGGAGTTCATCCATCTTTCTTCTGTTATCTTTTCGAAACTGAAGTCTGCTACCGTTAAAGTGGCACGCCCTTCTGCCTGTTCGACCCACCTGTTTCCACTTGAATTCATTTCAAAACGACTTGGTTAATTGTGCTGAAACGGACCTGTTGGGTGACGTTTCTCTTGTGGTTTAGCCACGCACTATTAGTCTGCGCTTTACTTCACTCCTATCGAAATACTTCGCTTGTCATCCAAACGAATTTTTGCAAAAAAGTCTATCGAATGACTCATACACCAAACTTGGGTTAAAGCCCATTACTGTGTCCCATGGTCTACCAACCAAATTACGAGCACACAAACTCCGTTAATGAATTAGGGTGAACCCAACTCACAAACCATGTGGTTCCAAATGAGGGTAACATAAAAGGCTCTCTCGATAGTTGTTTTTGTGTTTGTTGGAGTGTCTCGAAAAATCACAAAGCCCACCACCTCCCAAATGATCTACTGTTTCATGGCTTTTCGAGGTGGGTCTGTCATGCCATTTTCCATTTTGCTTGGGTTTCGTCAAATGCTGCAACAATCAATTGAACATCTTTAATATTAATGCATATTTTTGACTGCCCCAGAAGAAAATGTGGTATTGTTATAAATCTTATCCTGCGACTCTGTAACGAATAGCTACCTGCTGATGTTCTGATGAACTCCAAGCACCTCCAACTAGCTGCCACATCCCCGTCCATGTTCACACAAACTCTTAAAATTATGTAGTGTATCAAGACCCTTCACCAAAGTTTGCTTCTCTGTTTGTGGTGAAATTTCGCAAGCACTCAAGGATACTTTTATGGATTATTAAAATCTGTTTGCTAAAGGTAGTTCATGGTCAATAAAACTTGGCCCTTAGTAAGCCTCTTTTCATGGGTTTGCTGAATCGAGGTATTTTTAATACACTTGAGCACATAAGAAGCATTTAATCCCACGATGCATGATTACATCGTTAGTTCGCTTAAAATGGAAAGGTAACGAGCCGATTTTAAGGTATCGAAGATCTAATTTTAACTAAAGATTCGGCGTTCAGTCCAGCAGAGGCCCGTGATGTACGTGCATGGCGTAAGGACGTCCAAACCTGTGGTTAAACTTCGTCGGTAATTCTCTCTACTTTTGAATGAATGATAAATTGCACATGCCATGGCAAATTGAGTGGTCGTCTTGTTTTTAAGTTAGTGGACGTTTATAACCGATTAAAAATGCACTGTCGCCAGGCACAGATTATCCTCTACCCGAAAAGGTACTCTTGGGGTGGGGATATATAAAAATAAAACTTGGAAACTTATAGGGATTTCGCGAAACGAGCCATCAGAAAACGCAAGATCTGTGTTTATTTTCCACTTTTTCAAAAAGTCCATAATTGTTCGGATTTGGCTGTTGAGAAGTATATTGTTTTTTATGTATAAATTCTAATTAATTGTCCACAGTCTCGTTTATCATATCTGCAAAGATCAGTCGATGTCTACCTTATTACTGTCGGCAAATGTAATCAACTGATCAGATGGCATTATGGTCTGGGTGATCATGGCTTAAACAATTAGACGGGAACTAATGGTAATGAGGAATATACGACAATTAAAGTTTTTAAGTTCAGAGAAGGCCTAGTGTTCCAACCGGTGTTCTGCCACTTTCTTTGTGCCCACAACTATTTATGACAGGAAGAGCACCTCGAACGCATACGTATCGTTTCTCACGGACAGAGAAGATACCGTATTTCAAAGTCCACTTAAGCTACATTGATAGAATCAGCCGTGAATGAAGGTTAAAATCTTGATAAACTTTCTACAAGGACTAGGGAGACAACCTTGCTCTACCCTCGCCCACATCTCGTGCCACCAACATGCGTATATTCATTTCCCCCCACCCTTGAAATGAGGACGCTTAGCCTTATTGATGCAGTCAGACTCTCAGGTAGGGCATTTCTGTTTGCGTAATTTGGCTTGGTGCAATTTGCGTGCCCGAATTTTCCTTTAATGAAACTGGAAATTTCTGCTAGTTGATGTTCAGACCAAGTAAGATAGAGTAATTTATTTGTTTTGTACGTAGGAGTTAATAATATGCTGCTGCGAGTGTGACCGTGGTTACCATGGCTATTGTCTTGCTGGGTCTTCCCCGGGATACCAAGCTGCAAGTTTTCCAGACGACTGGGTCTGCGAAATTTGTCGCCAACAGGACGCCTGTCTTCCTCCCCAACCTCCTCTCCAGTCATCGACGCTACACTGAGCCAGCCATCAACGAAAACTAACACCCACACGCTCGCAAACAGGGTCAACTGCAAAACTAGTTCTTCACTCTACCTGCTCCATATTTCTTTTTGTCCATTTTTAACCAAATACAGGCGTTTACACGGCGAATGTAGTTTGTGGCCCACAGCTTCGTAAAGGGTTTGCTGCTGTTTACTATTCGGTTCGACAGGTTATTTCATGTATTGTTTTTCCTTTCAATCATCTTGCAACTTGCCCACCCAAACTTTCCCAGTTATCTACCCTAAAACCTATTGATCACTTTAAACAGGGTCACCTTATATATATACATATATGTATCTACTTATATAAATGTACAAGCACACACGTTCGTATATCTTGCCTTTAAACCCTTTGTCAGGCCCGTCATTTTATATCCCCCCGGCTATCATCATTTCTTTTAGCCCGACATTATATTTTATACTCAAAGCATGTACCGCCCTCCCTGAAGCATTTTCAAATCTCTTAGTTTTTTGACATGACATCTTACTGCATCATAACAGTTCAGAAGTGAATAAACGCCGAATTCGGTAGACCTCTTAGTCTTTTTGAAAGTCGACTTGCAGAACACTTCGGAACTGGCAGTGTTAGTGGGAGCGGGTGAAACAGCCTCGCGGCAAAGTGGGTAATAGCTTGCTTTCAAAAACATGTCGAAATAGCCTGTATTATGGACCAAGCGAAGTCGCGCAAAAGTGTACACGAAGACCGTCGAGCGGCGAGGAGGGATGGCCAACTGCGGTGGTCCGACGGCCCCAGCACGGCGACATTTGTTGGGCGCGGATTTTGCGCATAAAAACACCTCGCCGTGCACGCCGGCCAAGTGAGTCGACCAGCGCGTCGTGCACGCCGCACTTGAGTGGGTGTGGTGCGGCGCCCAGCCAACGAAAGCCCTTGACTCCCTGGGCATTCTGTTTACTCGATGGAATTAACCGTGATGGTAGTTTGCTCAATAGTCGCCTTAGTTCATCGTGCTTATTGAAATAGTTTGAAGAGTGTTTTCGTGAACTTTAAGAACTGCTTCAGGTCCGCCCAAGAAACCGTCATTGATTTCCCGTCGTGGTTTGTTCATTGTGCGAGTGCAGATCGAGCATTTTGTTCAATTCCGCTACTGACATAATTTAGGCCACAGGTGATGGAAAAATATGCAGCACAAGCCGCTTAATTTCCACCAAGAAGAAAAGGGCTGTTTTATCATATCACACAATCAACTTATGAGCTTCGATTGTCAACCACAAGGTATGTTGTTTGGTTGGTTAAATAATTGTGATCTTGGATCAGTTGTTGACACCAGAGAAAGTTCGCTTGCGATTTCCACGGAGAAGCAGGTATCCTTTCACTCTATAATCGAAAAATAATGAAGTGCTACTTTATTAAAGTTTGCACTGATTGACATCCAAACCTCAAGAATTTTTTAAAGCTTGGGATGCACAATAATAGACTACAAATCGATGCGTCCAGTGACATTAAGTATTCGAAGTTCAGAATGGACTTTGCAGCACGTTATTGCAAATCAAGGGACCTCACGATTACAAAGAATTTAGTGACTGGTGTTGCATCAAATTCAAGGAGGTTTGAAATAGGTCTCTGCCTTTTTTAGGGTAGTGTTTTTCCCATTTATGAAGCAGTAGCCTACATTTTCAACTGAGACCTCACATAGCTATAAAGAAACCAATTTAAAGCACTTTCATGGTCATGCAAAAGGCGATACCGAAGTTAGAATGCTACGAGCACTTTTTCACTTAAGAAGTCCTTAAAAGTGGGGTTGAGGACGATCAATGCGAAGTCCACGAAATTACTCTAATAGATCACTCCGAAATTTGCTTGATTTAACTCATTGAAAGTCTCATTGATCAGAAACTTGATGACTTGCTTGTTGGGGTGTCTCTGTTACTTCAACATGCTAAGACTGCGCCAATTTCCGACACACCATCCATTGAAAAGAATTCTCGATAAAAGACGAAAACTCGATTCCTTAAGCGATTTTTAAAAATTTTATTTTCTTCATCCTGGCTTATATAATGGTGTCTTCTGTAAGAATAAGTACACATTGAGCACAGGAATAGGAAAAGTTCTATTTCGAGTGCGCCTTCACTCACGTGAAGACTTTCACAACAACACCTAAAAGTGGACGCGGACGAGACTGTGACCTTGGAGCGCTTAATCCCCATTTGGTGGTCTTGACTGTTACACATCGCTGTCTACGTACTTTGCAACCCAACAACAACTTCACACGGTCCAGACGTCTACCCAGGAGTACAAATGACAAAATAACGATTAATGGTCAGTTTCGGGTATGTTATACTGAAATATAACCCGGAAATGTCCGGACTTTGTTTGCGGTGACAGTCAATCTTACTTTAAAATGCTATTGAAATACGGGGCATATTTTAACCGAGGAATAAAGACCGTTTTCAGTCATGCACCGTTTTTTAGGTGTTCTAATTGCATTTGCATTTTCAAGCAAGCCTCTCACGTATTCACACACAGAAATTCGCGGAACTTATGCGAATTCGCAAAAATACTTTTAAAAACTTTATTTTCCGAGTTTCGAGCTTTGTGAATTTGTGCTTAAACCTCCAATTTGCTTCATTGCCCAACCTTTCGGATGTGGAGTGAAGTGCTCCGGTCAGCAAATTTCGTCCCTGTGACCACTTTTTAACATGCACACTCCATCATTTCCGAGTAATGAAGGTGGCTTTGAGAAATACTTGAGTTAAGCCAGGAGCTGCAGCCAAGTGGTCGAAGCGACGACACGACTCAAAGAGAGTCAACGTGGCAAGTTACCCATTTGGACCTTTCAAGCCGAAACTGTGGCGAGACAGTGATTCGAAAATCTCAAATCTTTTATGCTATGCATTCTCGTAAAATTTTGATAGTAGGCAGAATTTTCTGAGATTCTGGAATACACATCAACGAAATACATCATCGTCAAAATGCAATTCATGCAGCTAATTCTGACGCCGACCACACCAACGTTTAGATGCCATTCGTGGCATGTTTTGTCTTGGCAAGCACTCACCAACTTAACACGGCACTCGACTTCACTCGCTGCTGGAAATCGGGCATAAATGACGCCTAAAGCAATTCAGTGTAGCGCTGCTACGTTACCGAAACCAGTGAACACTAATTTATAATAAGCATTCATGCGGAAAATGGGTGGGACATATTGTAAGACAGCTGCGTGTCTTGAGTCTAGGGTTTACTGCAAATGAAAATTTTTCAGCCACGGCCGGGGTCGTCTTTTAATGACCTCCATAATCTGATAGGCAAATTTCTGTCCTAAACGACGTCTCATTCGTGGCAAATTATTCCATTTCGCATGAGAGCACGTGAATCCTAGAGGGTTTCAGTCACGATGTGCAGCTCTTGAAGAACCTCGGACATTTGCCACCCACGATGGCCACCGCTTTCTGACACGCTAAAATCCCCTGACAAGTCCACTCGAGGCACCACCAAAGTGGTATTTAGGAGGTGGACAAAGATCTGGGATTAAATTGTCTTAGAATCCAGCGTTGTTGTCACAAGGGGCAGATCATTTACTCTCACTATTAGGAATCTCAATGGTTTGCGCACTAAGTGTGTGAGGATGCTCACTTGAGCGGCACCTCACAGCTACCAGTCGCAAAAAGGGTGCATCTAACTAGGCATTCATGCTTTGTGCTGAGTTTTTAGTCTCGTGGCCGGAAGGCTGCCACAGAAACAGCCTGGTCGCGCAAACGCATTCCGACGTCACTGGGCCGACATCGACTTTTGGGGGATTGGATAGCCCCGGTGACTCAAGACTTGCCTAAAGCGGTTAGTCATAGGCGTAGCTGATGTACACAAGAAAAAAAACAAGTCCCAACTGGCTTGGGTGTGCTGCGATGGCACTGGGGGAGGTTTCGCATGCAGCTTTTTTCAAAGCTCTGTTTTTTGCGTGACTGGTGGATGATTTGGATTTTTCATTTAATCGGAAAATCTCGAATTTTTATGGCCAATCAAAAGCACTGGGTAGTTTGGAGGTGTCATATCGTGTCACCAGGACAGAAAACATGTAATGTAATGTAGAACTGGGCTTTCTACGTCTGAGCATTTCCCCTGCTGGCGTCGTATTTTATCTACTCATAATATATCAGTATCAAATTTATGAAAATTGAAATAAACGTACGCGATAAGCACAAAGGCAATTGAAAGGGTGACCGCTGACACGTGGAAAACCAAACCGACGTTTATGGACACAGTCAATGCAAATAAGGCTGGAAGAGCCGTCAGGCCAATGAATGATCCCAGTGCATCAGCGAACCCAATCAGTGCATACAGTCGACCTAGAGAAGGCGAATTATAAGTTAAATTTGAAAGCAGCCATCATTAAAATAATTTCATCATCACATCAAGGCAGATACAAAAGTCTCTGAATTAGCACCCAAGTCGCATGGCACGACACAATGTATGCTGGCCCAGAACTGAGCTGACACACAATAAAATAGCTTTCCTGAATGATGTCATCCGTAAAAGACATTGACAAAGCCGCATGAAAGGCTCAAATTCTGACATCCATTGGATTCGAGGGGATCGTGGGACGATTTTTGAGGAATTATACAATCATTACCAAGTCTGAGAAATTATAAAAAATAGGGACGTAACACTGCAACTATGTGGCTCACCTTGAGCTTCACATTCGACTAAACTTGATAGAAGGGCTCGAATGAGGGGTCCGTAGAACTGAAAGGCGTTCAGTGTCACGCCTAAATTGTCAAAACAGCCAATCAATAACGTCACACATTAAGAATCTTAAGTATTGTGGTGTTCCACCCTTTACTGCTTCAAGCAGCAGATTACGCAACTATAAGTGCTTTGGTTGCATTTATATCGAAACAAAGTTAATGTATTCAACAGTAATTGTTCTTCATTTTACGACAGTTTCAGCAAATTTGTGTAGTCGCTGGCTGTTTTTATGCGACATCATAATATAGACTGCCTACCGGACATTTGAATTGACGTAATGTTCACTTATGGTAGTCGTTGTTTGCAATCTTTTCAACCCTATAGTAATGAACTTATTGAAAATGACCACAATTCGAATTAGTGACATCCGTTTCAGTAAGACAGCTAGTCCAGTAAATTTCATTCCTTGTCAAAATCGACTTAAGTTGACCGGGACAGTGGCTAAAATTTTGCTTTCTAGCACGCAGTCTATTGGCATGCATTCGAAATGCCTCGAGGTTCCTCGAACGATGCACCCACATTGTCGTCATGATATACTCGACCTACCAGCAAATAGAAGAATAAAGCAAGTTGGTTTCGGAAAATTGCTAGAGATGCCGTAGAGAAAGCGGCACGCAGACATGGCGAGCAGGACCGCCCCGAGAATATAAAGCATCATTTTTCGAGCATCGTTCATTTTGGCCTCCTTCTGGATGGTGACTGTGTCCACGGTTTCGGGAGAGCCATGTTGCTGCAGAGGTGAGGGAGGCGCAGCCAACTTGGGCTGGAAAACAAACATGTTGAACAGCACGAAGAGTCCAGAAATCACCGAGGTGCCAATGCCTCGAAGTCCACTACAACAAAAAACGTCATTCAAGACCTCATTGGTGATGTCAGAACTAAGCTATATGCAATATCAACGGTAGTATTGACCAGGCCGCGCACATTGCCTCATAGTGATTCTATCACCTCCACCAACTGATGGATATGAACTTACGTAGACCGCTTAAACGAAAATCCTGTTTGGAATCTTGACTAAAAAACGTGCTTGACTTGAACCACAGTTCGGTCGTCGGTCCTGTACTGCAAGAATTAATTGGTCAGGATTTTAGTAGCTGCATCTGGATCCAAGATCGCTCTAGCAGGCAGTCATCTGAGTTGTCATAGCCTCATCTGGTAAACCTGGTGAACATGATGGGATCTCTCAAAAATGACACCAATTATGATGTGCGTCTTCAATGGAAAAAAATGCCAATTCAAGAAGGAAGAGGCTATATTCGATCCCCTTACTACTTACAGTGAGAATCACATGCTTTAGACTGTTTATATCAGATACTTGCAAAGACATCATTTAAATTCACTGCTTCACATAGTGATACCCATGGGAGAGCTATCCTGGTGTCACGTTGACAAGTCTTAATTTCTTTAAGAAACACGTGAATGGGATTATCTGCAGTGTATTATGACACATTCATATAAAGCATTATTAGGCGGTCTACCGACTAAGTAATACGCTTGGAAGTTTAAGCTAATTCTAAGAGGAAGAACTTGCAACGTTTTCTTGTGGAGAGTTGTTGGAGATCATTCGGCTGCAGGAAAGTGGGTTAAATGTGCCTGACTTGCCACTAATCGAGTGCCAAAGGTGGTATACGGTGTAAACATAATTTTTAGGTTGTTAAGGCCAAGTCAGAAATAGCGTTGCACACATTCTTCGTCAGAGCAGAGCGAATATAAGCCCCGATATGGAGGCTGTCTCCCCGCATTCTCAACATTGAAATTCACTCACTCTTTGGTTTGACCAAATTCTCAAATTTGGGTGTGGGTGGGATCATTCTAATAAACAGGCGTTCTAAGTGGCAACGATAACAATGACCCAAAATAGAGCCAAATCTTATTAGCGTATCTTTTTTGTGCATCTACAGTGTGGCTACAGTGTAAATTATCATGCCAGTTTGGAAGACATCATAATTACGCGGAAACGCTCAGGTCACGTAAAAAGAGCAACATAGCGATATCATCATCCTCACACGTAGACAAATAGCGTAGTTGTAAAGAAATGGAACCAATGGGCTAACCAGCTGCATTGAGGAGGATGCGCTCAAGGTCCTGGGCAGAGTGTGCATTAAGAGTGTTAGGGACGACAACAAACACAAGCGTACACTTAATGATGCCAATGGTAAAACTCATGTGAAGAGGATAGTTCACATCGACATTCATTTCACGAAACTTGGCGTGACATATATTATTTGTAAGTGTCCTTTTAAAATTGCCACAACCAGAACCTCCAAGCTGAAATACTTGAATACTGTTGAACATTGTGATGTGTAAGGCATGGTGCTCGATTTTAAAACCAAATGAACTAATTGTTTATAGAATGCTAGGTTTGAGTTATGTAAATACTTACACAACAAGTCCAACTTGCGCAATTGACATCAAGAAGGGTTCGCCAATGAAGTACAGATTTAGCACGGGTACATCCGTCATTGCAATGAGGCAGCAAAGCAGATTGGCAACCGTTCCAATGAGTATTGGCACCGTCACAAATGAGAACGCCTGAAAGCGAATGAAAAGCTGTTTAACGAGACGCAGGTAATTGTATAGAAATTTAGAAATTGCCAAATCATCAAAACACCGAAATTGTGGTGTGGCAGATGGGAAGTCGCCTGCATGCATGAAAAGTACCAAACGGTGCGAAGAACCCAAGTGATTCGAGACTGTTGTTCAAGCCTATGACCACGTAATCATTTGTTAACCACAAGAGTCGGTGAGTCGTTTGGTTGAGAATGGCCTCAAAATTTGTAGTAGGTCTACAATCAGCCTGCTCGATGCAATGGCCTCTGATGAAAGGTACATCTGACTGTAGTTAATTGATGTGCCGTTTGTGGTGGACCAACTGTATTTCATGCTAGTCAAAAAATCCTTCGCTGTGTTAAATGGTGATGCTAAAGTTTCACTAAGGCTCATATGATACCCAGAAGGCGCCTTGAATGAGGCTTACTACTGAATTTAAGTTGTATTTAAAAGAAGCATTTCGCCCTACTCTCTCTAGTCCCATTTTTGTGCACAACTTCAAATTCTTTACTAACGATCTAAGAAGAAGAGGCCCTCTGGGAGTTAAAGCTTTGAGACTTGGGGGTTCTGAAGGAATTACTCATGTGTGCCTCTATGCACAATTTCCCATGATTGCATTAATTGCTTAAGTGCCTAGATCTAGCAAGAGCACCTGCACGGCTATCAGGCTGGCACGTCTCAACCTGAAAACCGACACGCCGTTGATGGAGTATTTGTACTGTGCAGTTAACTCGCTCCTCCACATTACTGATCAACGGCTTATTTTGGGCGCGATTGTTAAACACCTCAAATCGAATCCGTAACCCGATTTGAAAAATTAGTACGCGCCAATGTGTGTTGATATCTAGCATTGTACTCTTAAATTTACATTCTGTGCTAATAAGGACCGAAAGTTGGTGCTAGAGATTTGTCCTACCAAAAATCAAGTGCATTTCATAAGAAAATCACACTTTGAAGTGTTGCTTTGGAGGCAAAATTCTAGTATATCCACTATTCCCCTACATTTGACTTACTTCTTTAAGGGCTAGACAACAGGACCTTTTCGGCTGACGAGTGGCATGACTCGGTGGCTCGTTAGTTTCACCAGAGGAGCCTGAGAGGAGTCCGTGTTTTGCCTCGGCATTGTCTCCTGAAGCAATGGGACGATTAGACCAGAGGGCTCGGGTATTGGGCAAGAGAAGGGCATTCACCAAGTTGATGGCTGTCACAATGATAATCAACCAACCAGAGAGAGAGAAACCAAACTTCTCAATAACAGGACCTATAAGGGTACAAAACAACTAAGGTATATTGAAATAACACTCATTCAAATTGCTTTCAGGGTCCAAATATCAAATGAGATCCTTTTGGAATTTTTGTGATATTTCTTGTTATAGTCTAACGAAGACTATAGCACCTATTAAAAGCTTGCACATTCGTTGGGCCCTTTACTTTGTTGACAGTCCTTCCTTTCTACGAGATTGTCTTGTTTGTAAACATATTATTCCTTTGGATAAAAACTATTGCTTTAATAAAAGACCAGCTGCTACCCTTTCGTAATTGCTACCTAAAAAAGCACTTAACCAACCTGACCACATCACTAACCACCTTATTCCTGAGTGCTTCGTTGTTTTAGTATTCTAATTCTGAGTACCATTTATTATTAATTCATTTAGTGAGCAGTGCTATACAGAGGATTAACTTAGTTTCTTCCTCTGTAAATATACTGTTAATTGACATATATTGTTTTAAGGTAATACACACACCTCCATATTACTAGAACGCAGAGGGTTATTCAGGCTGTGTTGATTGTGATACAAATGTGTCTGACGTGTTTATGTGTGCGAAGGGATTAAAATCGAGTTAATGCATATCGTTTAAACTATTTTCCTGAAACAGGGAGCTTATACTAAATTCTGCTAAGCTAAAGGCCTATTCTGTGAAAAAATTCACATCTTTAATATATAGGTGATTTTGCGATAGCAATGTTTACAATAGACGTCTTCAACTTGTTGCGTTTTGTTTTCCATGACTGCTAATGCACAGTTTTTAAAATGCGACATGCATACATAACCGTACAAGGTTGAGTCGTCTGATAAACGCTTATGTCCCTGTCATCTCCAGTCTTCTTAATATTTCAGAGCATCAGCATTGCATAATCGGGCCAATGCAAGTCCCATACCGGGGTGTTTACAAGTGGTGACCTTGACATTTGACACACTTGATCTTCTCCAAGCTGGTGGTCTGCGATGCGACTTGGGGTAGATATCCTGCGCTCCACATTATAATGGGCTATTGTTCCTTATAAACCACACCCATCTCTAGGACTTGACTCTCGTCTGGCTCAACATGACCTTGAGTCATGCTCAGGTTATCTCATTATTGACACGACCTCACTTAGTTCACCTTAGTTCCCGACTTTCCACCAACTCAAATAACAATGAATATCTCATGGCAATGATCAGTAGCTTCGTGTTTCGATTCTTACTACCAACACTTCTTACATCCTGCTGAAAGAAGCGATGCTACCATCAGCTCTAAATTGTCTTAAACGTCTTCCAAAGGCGGACAATGGCCCCAGTCGTATTCTGTCGACGTCCACTCGTCTCAGATATTCTTGGCGACTACCAGTCACGTCTCTTCATCGTGCATGTGACTAACCTTCCAAACACCGGCTAAGAGTGACGAAAGTAAGCTCAACATCAACTAGCAATGACCGTCATTATACAATGACCAGTGGTTCCAATCGTATCTCGGTGGCGACTGATCGTCCTGAGGCACACTTGACTTTTCCTTGACTTATTTTAGGTTCCAACCATTTAAAAACAATCTTTATCGATGGCTGCTCATCGACCCCAACCCAACCCACAGCCTGATTTTCAGTAGTCCTGCTGGAAGATCATGTACTGACGTGCACATACCTTCCCGACGCATACAGCGCATCTTGTCATTCAGGTGCTGATGCACTGATTAGTCCTCCGAAACTCTATTGGCTCACAGTTTTAACTTTTCATATCGCGCTTTGGCACGGTTACGACTCACTATAGTAAAATGATTCTGTGCGCAAAGCGACGCGACAACACAACAGATTTATGCATAACGAAACAAATTGAATGAGTGTGCAACTGTTTAGAATTGAAAACATGCTCTTCGGAGCGGTTTATTATAGCCAGTCATCAAGGTGAGTAATTTGTAAATTCATTCGACATTTAACACTTCTCGGGATGTAATTTGCTAAAAATTTACTGACCTTGGGAAATTATCTTATTCAATGTCGTACAGATTTGTTAACGACATTAAAGACACGTTTGTTTGACCAGGTTTTAGACAAGGAAAGTTCCAGTGAGTTTACTTGATTGGAACGGCATCTACTTACCCATAATCATCGTTCCCGCGGACGAAGTGATTCCCAAACACCCCTCAAACAAGGCGATAATTGATAAGCGCGCGGAGGTCATGGATGAATGAACGGTGGCTACCGACTTTGGCTCACGAATTTCAAAGATGGAAGTTGTCCGCCGTCTTTTTTCTGACAATGCCGACGAATCATTCGTCAGTGATTGCAGATTCACTGAAAGCTTCTTCTCAATAACCTCGGATTTCTCTTCAGTCAGATCCGTGATGCAGACGTAGAGCTAAGATACAATGCCACGAAATGAATGGGTTAAAAAAAGACGACTTTGTGTTTGGCGGTTTGATAGATGATCTACGCATCCTATAAAATGTATTTATTCTCAACCAGTTTCGTTAGCTTAAACCACCACAATTTCATAACTGCCCGACTAAAGATGTGGTTAATGAATGTGTGAAACGTTTAATATTTTTGCCATGACAATGGCGGCTGAAAGTACATGTCAATTGTATCGGTACTGTTTGGAGCGAACTGTCATTAAAAAACTAGCGGTCCAACGTCGACTACCGTATTATTTGTGATCTGGTCAAGCAAAACTTGGAACAACCAACCCCACAACGGGCCTCGAGTTTGATTCTAAGCATAAAAGTTAGTAGGACTATTCCAACTAGCAAAACAGTCCACCAACTTTGATTCTCGAAGTAGTAGACTTGTGATCTCCAAAGAGCAAAATGGTCACCGTTGTTTTACAGCCTTGTGCACTAAATAGATCTTGTGTTACTGCAATTGTTCGCCTACAACGTGACCCCAGAGCACCCTCGCCTACACGGCCACCGGGAGAAATTGTAGTCGATTGAGTGAATGAATTTATAATGCACATCAACTTGGTAGAAAATCCGCTGGAGAAGCATCAAACATTTGAATTCATTACAAGTAGCTTCGTTTGGTTTCCTATCTGGATATTGCTTGTGTGGGAAAATTGACTTAGCTTAAATTATATCTATGCGAGCGAAACCTATCAGCTGTGCAGAACCTATATGGTACCACTTTTCGTTGCATATCTATTTGAAAAAGTTTGTGTTTCCTGCTCCAAACCCGCTTAACTCCACAGGTCATTGAAACTATATATTCCCTAGTTCCAAGCGGGTTGCGGCCTGTAATAAGAGTGCGGATGTCTACTTACTTAAATTAAATCACCTAGGAATAAAGCCCTCAAAATGAAATTGCAGCTATCCAAGTGGGGTTATGGGAGATATAAGGCAGTCGGACTACAACATTTGATTCTCCTTTTCCTTAAACGTCCTAAAATATATCCGATTTGTTGTTCGGTTTTAGTTCGTTTTCATAGCTGGCAGTCCAATTATGAAGCCTAGCTAATTGTTCACTTGAAATTTTTCCTTTTCCCAATAAAGTTCGGATCAGGAAGCACGTTCACGGAAGTCTACGTGATTGGGAGATTCTGCTTTGGGCGATGTAGGTGTAAAATTAAAACCATATGCATGGTGTCCAAGGCATTGATGAAGCATAGATTAGACTGAACGGGGTTCATTACCTGGGTTAAAATCCCGAACACACCATTCCCGAGAATGCTTGACGGGAGTGTCGCGACAATCAACACCCAAAGAGGCAGATGAAGAAGCATAACTAGAGCTAAACGTAAATAGAATAAATATGCAGTCCAGATTGTCAAAGAATATAAACAAAGCCAGGATTCGGTCATCATGTACCTTACATTTACACAAAAGCCAGGTGTGAAAAATTTACAACTTCTAATTTACCCGTCAGGGCTTTGGCACACCATACATGAAATCTAGATGTCAATATTTCAACGTCGATGACACATTGCACGGCTGATTGCCGTGAAATCCACTTATGTGCAGTCGCTTGTTTGTCTGCAATCCATTAGCAGACTTTCCTGATCACTGGTTTGAGCGAGGGTCGATTTAAAATACAAATTGTAACCAGCGGATTCAGTTACAAAATTGAAATGAAAATAAACAATGCTTTTGTCTCCACGTTTGCGCAGATAACAAAATTATATCCAACGAATGTGATAACTAATTTTGCTGCAAATAGAGCATGAGTATTTAACGGTGCTTATTTTGTGGTAATCAGGAGGTGCGCAATGAATCATTTCGCATTATTATTAGTATTATTATTATTATTAAGCTCCTCGCCTTCTATTGACTTGAGTTGCGTATTATTTGAACAGAGACTCGCGTCCTACAGCCCTTTCTACAGGCCAATAATTAAATATGCTGGGATTTTTAGATGAATTTCTAATTCAAACGCCCATCAACAACACCGCTGCCTAAGAGAATTAGTATTTTTTTAATTGCATATAAAGAACGGAGTTAAACAAAACAGCATCACTCCCAAGGAAACCACGGATTGGTTCTTCACCTTTTTGAAGCCTCAAGATGTGCAATTGCTTAATGTCCGTTATGATCGAACATCAGCATAACGGTTTATGTAAGGGAAAATGAATACTTTGTAGATGAAACAAAAAACATCGCATTTACTTAGGCTATAATGGAGTTGGTTAAATGCCTTGACAAGGTGCCATATCAACAGTGACGGCAAAAAGTGTTAACAACGAAGTTGAGAGAACACTGTTTAACAATCTGATTGCTCCACAAAAATTCATACTGACTAGATCATCAGTTATACGATGATTTGAAGGGAAGAGTCGATTGCGTTAATTAACACCTGTTAGAAGGTTCCTAAGTTTAATTGTGACATTTGTTACTGCACAAGTCCATTTCAAGATTAGTGCAAATTTCGAAAATTGCCCCGGCCCAATTAAAATACACTAAGTAATATATAGACATCTAGGTTATGTTTGGATGAATGTCATCTTACTTAGACCAGTAAAACACTGAACAAGTTTTCTGATGGAAATCCTCCCATTCCTCAAATTTAATCAAAAACCAAATGGAAAGCTACAGAGTAAACCTAAAAGGAAATACCCTGGAAATAGAATATTTGATTTCCCCGTTTTCGATAAAAGTATATTTCTACCTAGCATGCCAAGTCAAATCACTTGTTGGGAACAGAAAAAATAACAATAAATGTTGGCTGTTCTAATTTCACACAAAATATTGACTCATTTTGCTTCGATTTTTCAGGCCCACCAGAATAGGCTTGCGAACAAGATTTGCGAACCCGGAGTCTGTTGGCCTTTTGCTTACAAATTTAAAATCGCGCTTAGCCTTCTATAAATCGAAGGTGTAAAAATCTCATGTTTGCAGTTGGACGGATACCAACAGGCCTTCAATGAATGGACGTCAGTTTAATTAACCCAAGATCACAATATATCCATGCTGAGAAAATGGTTCGACAAGGAGAATCCCGCTTGTATTTTTTAGTGTTGAATAGCAGTCCAATTTCGAGGGATTTTACATGTTCGTTTATTCAAATTGCAGTTTGATTTAAAATTAAACCGTTCAAACGTTAAAAAATATATAAAAGCCCTTTCCTCTTTAGGGCATTCGTAACAATAAAGTCCCTCATAGAAGATGTCAGAGATTCGCAACTATTTAAGGAACATTGTTCGACAGCAAAGCTTAAAGCTTGAGCATGATCAGCGCTGGTCATCGTAGCATGGGCAACGCCAAAAAGCATGACATAAACAATTAGGTAATCTCTAAGTCAAGTTCTCCAACAGGGGGCTGTTCATTCACCTGTATTTGGCTCACTAGTTGACATTGCAAAGTGGCAGGCTTGCACCTACTCTTGTTTAGGAAAATATCACTGAATTCCTATTTTTAAATATTTTTTCGGTTCCACGATCCACTCTCTTCTTTATTTCCCTCTCTGCATTGCTGCGGAGCCGGATCACTTCAGTGTAGTGACATTGACTTTCGACTTGGCACGTTTGTGACCAATTTGGATCTAAAACACCGCGATTGCGCGATAATGGCGAGGAAGAATTGGTGGGAAACTGGGAGCGAAAAGAGCTCAAGCGTATTTTAATAAAACGCCATATCTAGTTCCGCTTAGCCGTCCAAATTCAACGCCGGTGTCACTCGCGCCGTGGTCACGCGGTACGTCATTCTTGCCTAGCGGGCAGATGGGTCCGAAATCGGAGCTCATCGCCCGTAACACAACTCTGGCTAGGTCTTAATAACAGCTGTCATGTGTCTGATTAAGATTTTTATCCTTTCACACTTCACGCACAATATCACTAATAATCTTTTCGTGGTAAATTGTTTACTGAGAATTAGAGATGCGCCCTCTACATATGAAAAATTCCTGATACTTTCACTGAGACATTCAGTGTCATCGACACCTACATGTTGTGGACACTAAAAGCCCATATTTATCTCTGTGGCATCAGAAAAACGCTTGCTTCAAAAAGTTCTAAAAATTTACGAAAGTGGATGCTTCAACAATTCCAGGAATTCGTGAGTGGGTTTTGACAGAAGGTAGAACATTTCGTATTTGGGCTGTTATTTCTAGTATTTGTTATATTGAGATGTCATGTTTTTGTAGCAATCGGGTTCCATTGAACATTTCATTTTCGGACTGTGAGTTGTGCCCTTGAACTAATGTTGGCGTGTATCATCAACTTCCAAGGTTATTTCAAAATGTTTAATTTATTATGGCTTTGATTCTTCAGTGGCTTCGACAGAGTATGAGAAAATGGGGCACCTGGAAGCGCAGACTAATACAATCATGTTGGCACAATTTGCTCGTTAACCCTGCCGGCTTTTGTAGTTGCCATTTCGGCCACATTTATCGCTTACAGACTTTTAGTTCGTTAAGACCAACCACTGCTTTAACCGCAGCAACATTTATTGCAACTTGAAGCTTCAATATTACCATGTTTGACTTTTGACATGTGACCCAAGAGATTGTCCTTGTGTATTACGGGCTGTTTTAAAGTTTGGTCATTAAGGTAGAGTTCAAATATTGAACTGGTAATTCTCGCAACAGTGCGAGGGTCTCCTGAGATTCTCTTTAACACATTAGTTGAACATGTGCTTCATGGAACTTGCGGATGGGAATTAAAATCTCACCTACCATTCGGAGTAGCCTTCTTTTTTGAACTGTCTGAATCACATCCGTTTAACATTTTCGTAATGCTAATTAAGCCACTTCTTCAGCTCCTCAGTTTATTTGCATACAGAATTTGCATCCTCGCTTGAGTCAACAAAGATCTGTCGAGGAGCCATTAATAAGTTACATAAAATCTTGAGAGCAGCCTGCTTTTAGTAAACTTCAGACATGAGCAACGTAGTGAGCAAAATGACGGGGAGGAGTCTATTTAACAGGCCTCGTAGTTGTGTTAGGTAGCACCCTGGGACAGGTTGACAATAGGTCATCAGATGATGGAGAATGAGTTAGAACAGTCTAACTTCATTGCGAATTGGTAGTAAAAATGCTAACTGAATTTCTAGCAGATCACTTTCAATTTTACGCATTCGAGAACGCAGCTTGGTCAAGAAATAAATCTTTACACCCGTGCGATTATTTTCACTCAATAAATATTTGAACTCAAAAACCACGTACATCATAAAACTCCGAGAATTTTTTCGAGATAGAAAGTCTTGAGCCAAAAGCTTGCTAGAAGAGTACATTTTAAAATTACGGATATACTTGTTATGAGTTTGCTTTAAAACTGCGATCTAGCTTTGCCATCATGTAACACAGGACATTTTTTTCTCAATGACAACTTACATATCATGCCTGCAAACCTATTCTGTGGGATTTAAAATTGTACTTAAATCTTCAAAAGTGCGTGTAAGGGAGCTTGGCGTTGCGTCTTCCAGTAAAACTCACCATTGAGAAGTGCATCGATGGCGAAGCCGACATACGCGATGACCAGACCACACTTGCGGCCGTATTTGTCGGAGACGAAGCCCAACGGGATGATGGTGAAGAGGCCGACGATGCCGCTGACCAGGCTCATGGCCATGGCGACGTACGCAGACTGCGCCTGCACCCAGCGCTCCCTTGCTGTCTTATCCATGCCATCGAAACGAGGCCTGCGCGACGTGGAAATCACGCCAAGAGGAACATATAAGCACCCTTTAATATGCCACAAAACCACAACACTCCTTATACTAAATCATCCATGCGCAAGCAAAATGTGTGCAAATATAAGAATTCACGGTGACAATATCAGCTTATTTGTGGAAAATATCTTAGCCTCTTTTGAAATTATATCCACAAAAAACTTGCTCAATACACTTCCAAGAAATGAAATATTCCACAAATATGCAAACTTAGAAAGTACTTCTTAATTAATTCGACTCCAAATTCCAATTTCAGCGGCAACTGACTGACTTGCGTATTTTCCTGTAGTACACTGTGAAGTACAAGTCAGATGCTCAGCGACCATTTTCATGTAAATTTCTGTTTATTTTTGGATATAGAAAGCTCCTTTCCCATACAAAATAAGATCTGCTATTTTGCCTTCAAAAATGTCAACACGTGGTGAGGTGTATATAGTTATGAGAGCGGTTGCTCCATTTCCAACTCAATCCGCCATTTTCGTTAATTTAGTAATTACAAAGTCAATCTTGCTTGCTAGTGTAAAAACGAGCTAACACAAACGTATTTGTTAAAATCGATTAAAAATACAGAACGTTTGCCAAAAATACATATATCTTGGGAAAAAGCTAACAAATGTTCTTCAAAATCCACTGTAGCGTTAACTTTAAGACATCTAGAGTCATAGACGAGACAGCCCTAACGCGAATGGGACAAGATTTTACCTTAAACGCTGGCCCCTTTAACTAATCGGGCCAACTGTCCGACGAAGCCATACGAGCAAATACTTAAAACGGTTTCCTTGAATGCCATATCTTAATAACATCATGAATTGTTTTTGCAATTCCTTCACTCTATCGTAAACGTGTCATCATTTTTATTAGCGAATCTTGTCCTATTTGTGGCACGTGTAGCACACAAGATCACGTTGGCGTCAGCTTTTTTCGAAGTGACAGCGAATTTACTGGAAAATTTTGTTATAAACTTACCTATTCTTACCATAACCATTGGCTTACATGCAGTATTTGTTTGTGCACTCGCTAGTGCCTTGTCATTTGAATCATATTGCATTTGTTACATACACAACGGTACCATATTTGCAGATTCCCATTAAAACCACCAAAAGTGGTCTTGTGCTGAATTTGGCGAAGATTTGGTGCTGTCAGAAGACACCGAAAGTTGCGTTTTAGAATAAACCGGACCAAAATTTAGCCTCAAGAGGAAGACTGCCTTGCGCAACTGTATGTGTTACTACATCGCGATAATGTAACACGAGTCGAAATCGCAAGTTTTACATTAATAAAATCTCACTTTGCACTCGTTCATTTGTGTAATAGAATACTTGCTAACGCCAAATGCTCAAGTAAGTTGTCAAAATGCAATGAAAATTATCGAAAAAACGTAAATAATCTCATTGGCTATACGGCTGCATCATTTCACTTCGATGGTTCGGCGCAATATCCCCATTTTGGAAAAAGTAGGCACCACAAAAAATTAAGTACTGACGAATAGCCAGCTTATGAATGAATTTAAATCGATGTCGTGGATAAACGTGTCAACCAAATTCACAACAACTGTGACAGACTCGCATTATGTCACACATAGTCACTGCAAAAACGTACGTGACTTAAAAGAATGAATTTACAGACGAATCGCCAAAAAGAATTTCTGTCTCTTGTTTGTTCACAGCAGAATTTTGTCAAGGAGTGCATATTGAGGAGCAAATGTCTGTGTCACTGTATCAATAAAGATATACAGCCCATTGCTAGTAAAGTCTTGGGAGTTGTTGCTAGGCCATTATTTCTGTCTCATACAGGCTTAAAACATGCATAACTAGACAATCTTTGAGATGCTAAAACCTGGCAATGAATATGGCTCACTTCGTTTCGGTAACAGCCCCTTCCAGTAAGAGTTTCGCATAACATAATCCAATAACGGCGGGGCACCCAAAACAGCTGAACGCCACTGGAAAATTTTGAAGTGGAGAAAGTGCTGGCAGGTGGGCACAGGATGGAAGATGTGTGGCGGAACAGGAATGAAGGCATTCAACAACAACTTTGAGACCATGTTATCTGTGTCACGTCTAGCAATCACCCTAAATGCACTACTGGTTTGCTATCCTTTTCGTCATTTTCAATTAGGCAAAATTCTGTTGAGATCGAGAAATTTTAGAACTAAAAGGTTATAGAAAATCGAAATTGTCAGAAATTCCTACGAGTTAGATGACAAGGAACACAATGAAAGCTTCTAAATCCGTTCTTGAAGCTCACACGCAAGCAAATTATTCAAAATCTGTTAATTTCCATTGCGAAAGCCAAGTTTAACTAAAATGTTTTACTACAAACCTGAATTAAACCGAAACACTAAACACCTCTCATTCTCGAATTGCTGTGACCAATATTCTGTGAGGATTTGTTTAAAGTTCGTATTCTGAACTGACAACAGGAATAGTTATTTCATTCTAAGGTAGACCTGGTCGTTGTTTGGGGGGAGGGGTGTTAAGCACTTTTTAAAAGTCGGCAATGAGATTTAACACGGGAGAATTCCCAATTGAACAATGATGAGGCACCGATTGAAACTTCAATTGGGCTCTCAGTAAATGAGGCAGTCAGCCCACCGAGTGTTGGTGGATCCTCAAGACGTCATTAAAACTTACATATCTCAATTGAGTTTTAGTATACTGACCATTTTTTTAGCAAATACAGCCACTTCCTGACACGAAAAAGTTGAGTCCTTGACATCTGCTCCACACGTTCCACTTCGATTGCCCGATGCTCGGCCTCGGTAATGAAGCTGTGCACCTTCTCTAAGAGCCTCAGAGGCATCCACATGAATCCATTGGTTCGAAATACATTCGTGTTGAAAGTGTTTAGCAGGGACTCTGCGCTTTGGATTTGATCCTTTTGTTTATCATTTGATAAGCCAAGAATTGTCCAGGAATCTACCTGCATTGTTTTTTATGAATACTATAAATGGACCACAGAGTTCAAGTCCTTTTCATGTTCCAGCATTTCATCACTAAAAAGAAACCCTTTACTTGAAACCTCAAATGTACATTTTATTTCTACATTTGTGACCATTAAAAATAATTTTTCTCCTATGACGAAATCCTGATTAACTACAGAATTCCAGCTGCTTTTGTAAAACCTTAATTAGAAATTGAATTACACACCTCACATTTCAAGCATATTTTCAACGTAATCCAACATCGTTGGTTAGACCTAACCCCTCCATACACCCATGCTGCAAACTGAAGCCTGACTTTTGAAAGATAAGTGGGTGCGAGGTCGGCAAGAGCGCGACAACAACGGCCTAGAAGCTGCCTATCCAGGTCCGTGAGTGTATTCCGGCCAACCCAATGAAGTCACATAATGCACTTTGTATTGGGTAAACAAACTTACCCGAGTTTTGTTTTGTTTTGCTAAAACAGTATGATCGCATTGGTTCTGGTTGCTGCACGTCATTGAACGACTACAATTACTTGACTTTCAAGACCTCAAGTGCTAAGTTTTAACAATACTATCGCCAAGTATACGAAGAGTTTGTTTAAATTACATACGTTAATTATTTTCAGCACTGCAACATTTCGCATTTATAACAATCAATTGTTCCCTATTTTGAGGCTACGATTTATTTAAAGTGTGAGAAAAATATTGGTTATAGGGCTTTATGTTGCTAGAGGCGTAATATTGAGAAGTTCGTGGAGAGGGAGGACTTAAAACGTACTACGGACAAACCGGACCTTTCAAACGCACAGAAAGTTGGCCATAACTCCGCCGCACCAATTTGGTTGAAAATATCCCAGTTTCAAGTAAAATCAGGAGGCCTGTGTAAAAGGGAGTTTAACTTGGGTGGAATCAGTTTAATATCCAAGCACACCCAAATGTCCGCCATATTTGTTTGTCATAGTTAATTCAGGGTGCTAGAACAACCTCAGAATTGTAACCTTGTGATTTTTATCCCGACTATTATTAAATTAAACTTGACCAACTCAAAAATTTCCTAGGTGACACTGACATCACTTTTCCTTTTGCACAGGCTTTAAATTGCGCAAAAGCATCAACAAAAGTTGAGAATTTACGCAAAGACCAAGTATCAGTGCCACGGTATATTGTGGGCATAGCCGAGTACTTTTAGATTGACACTCATTGTAGACTAGTGGTGTAGTCGCATTTGATAACACGAAATCACTGTAACCCAAAAGCACACCACTTTGATGGTGGGAAAATTTAGGTGGAGCTTTAGATTTTTGAGATTTCATACGTGTGAGCTTTGCCGTAGATTATGCGACATCTTTTGAATTATATTTTGCATAACCAACTTGCTTTCTTACTAACCCACGTAAAGATATTCTCCGTCAAGTCCCTATTCACATATGGAACATGATTGAAATTTTTGCTATCAATTGTGGTGACGCAGAGACCAGTTCTCATTTCTGGTCATTCGCTTCAGCTATTAGGCCAATGGCGAAAATTTTGCAGGTATCTTAGGCAATAGAGAAAAAGTATAACGCTAGAATAAATTAATGAACTTAATTCGACTCTAAGAATGGTTTGAAAAGTACACTAAGCTTTTAATTCTTTTAGTGTCCCGGAAAATTTTTAGAAATTAGACAGGCGAATCTATAATTTTTAACTTTTATTGTAGACGCGCATAAGTTTAACGAACAAAAATAAGTTTAAATAGTCGGATTTCTTTCAAATAATTTAATCTCACCTTCTTACCTTCACTTAAAAACCTTGTTGTGACAGTACGAATCAAAGAACTTATTGAAGGTGATTATTTTAATTTTTTACATTAATTCCTTAATCAGTGGTTTTGGTTGTGAACTTTTATCAACAAAAATGTCCGTCTTAAGCCTAGTCAATCCTTGTACTTCAGCTAAGTGCTCAAAAATCATTCAGTCTAGTACGAAAAATTAATCTTCCATTAGCTTGGAAACAGACCACTTTGTAAGCGTGTTTTGCTGACCGAGTGGTTTAAAATAAATTTTCAGATAGTCAATGGAAACAATATTTTAAGTTTTTTGAAATATGAACATTTAAAATCCACACTCAGTTAAGGTGCGCA